GGTAACAATGCAGAGTGTGCATGAATATGGTGACATGATTAATGCTAACGAAGAGCATTTGCGGGATTAATCGTAAGAGCAGTAATACAACCGGATCATCTACATCGCCATAGCTTTTTTTCTACCGGACCGTTGATCGAACTATAATTCGAGGCACTGCCAGCGATCATCTTGGAGTTCTCGACCAATTACGGCACGGGTCAAATTTAGCTCGTGGCGGCGTATTCAGTTTCTAGCCAAGAAAATGTGAGTAGAGATATGATAGCTTTGAGTTAAGATGCCCATCATACTCGGCGACTGTGCAATCGCTGCGCGCTCGCGATCGCAACATCGCTCGGCTGTCGCTCTGCAAAAGTCCAGCGACAGGCGTTGACTCCGCCCGCGATCGATACCGATGTTGACGGCAGAGCACGTGACGGGCCCCTGCCGGCTGAATGTATCGATCGTGGGCGGAGCCAACGCTCGTCGCTTGCACTTCTGCAGAGCGATGGTGCGATCACGATCGCGCAGCGATTGCACAATCGCCGAGTCTGACGGACATCTTAAACTCCAGAGGCGTTGTGCACAACAGAAGTTTAGCGAGTGCAACTTTGGCGTACGCATACGCATTAGAAAGTAGTCAGCACTATTGACCAAATCTGAAAGTACTATTGACCAAATTTTCTATCAGTAGTACTTATCGGCGCTCGTGAGAGCGTCTGAAGAACGACCAGAGCAAGCACAAGAAGAAGCCACAGGAAGCTGGCCTGACACAAGCAGAGTGACTCGTACTTGGCCGGTTCTCATAGGCGTGAATTGAAGCTTTAAAAGAATCCTTCCCTTGAGAACATGATTCTATCTCACCTATGAGTTCGAGACCCATTGTTCACGATAAGAACGAAAAGAACAAAAAAAATTGCATTGTTTTGGTAAGACATTCGAAAAACTGAAGGGAGTGCTACGCGTTCAATTCCCGCCGGACATCTATCACAAATGTTGGCGGTGAGGGTGGGTACGTTTCCATAGGCGTTCTTCGCTTCCACAGTTCTACTGCATCCTATTCTATCGATCGATTTGTCTCTATTCTCCAAAATCGCACGCTTAACCCGATTCTTTCATTGCGTCGCCTGATACGTAGCCGCCCCAAGGCGGACTTCTTTCCATGCCCCGCCTTTGGCTCCGCCCGAATTACCTTCGATTGTCCATAGAGTGTGGTTTTTGTAAGTTTGTTTCTCTTCGGAAACCGAATCTTCATGCGTGAAACTTTGTGTGCTGTTTCCAGTGATCACAACTGACATATTCATGTTAGGAAAGAGTGCAAGAATTTTCCGGGAAGGATTCCTTCAAGTCTGATATGGCATAAAAGTCACGTGGACATTCATAGGGACTGGACTTATCAGTCAGATGATGTGTCGGTTCACAAATTGGTGATGGTCTGTTACCTGGTCTTCAAGCTGTTTCGGAAGAAGCAAGAAATCAAATACTAAAGGATATCATTGGGCAAGAATTCATTCCCACATAACCCTTCCGAAGGGAGTTTTCAAGAGCATGGGCGATCAATCGAATATTAATTCCTAACACGTCGCCTAGAATATGGGTGACGTTTACTGTCGTGACCGACCTCCCTCTGGTCGACAAGAAGAAAATAGCGTGCTCCAGGGCCAATGTGGACTCAACATGTCAAACGTGTCAAGCCATGTCAATGAGCGCCAAAACCCTTTTCGCGCGCTTCCACAAACAACATTCATTTTTTCATTCGTCTCGTCTCCGGCGTCCCGGACGGCCGACTCCCCCCTCTCCTTCGGACTACCCTGCTCGTCCTCAGCGTTTCGACCGGGCTCATCCTATCGCTCGTTATCTTGGAAGTAGGTATTCGTCACATTTTTATATTGTTAATGTGTTCGTTAATTACATGAAGGCTTAGTCAATAAGGTGTAATGGCAAAAGGTGGTTCCAATGCTTATTTTCACAACTATTCGGTTCAGTTGCCGGGTCATTCCTCGGAAGCAGGGTCGAGAGGGGTATGATGGGAGGTGTGGGAGTCCCTTGTTCTGATTGAACCACGACAAGTCACGACATTTACTACGACAATATCCAGTTTGGAACTATGTGGCCGGAAATCGGATACAATTATTTTGTCACCATATTCATGCCGGAGTAGTAGAAGAAGTTCAAGCTATACTAAGCGAATAAAATACGCCAGAAAATAATCAGAAGCGCTCAGGTGATGTGCTCACATCAGTTCGATTTCTGAAAGCCTGTAGTTCCGGTGATTCTTTGGCCATATTCCATAGATGCTTTTGGCGATCGCAGGGAGCATCAGGATGAACCCGAAAAACTCTGCATTAAACCAAAATTCGTGCTAAAAAGTATCGAAGTAGAAGAATAGGTATGGACGAGAGAGATTACATCGATTTACAATTCAACTTACATAGTCATTACCATCAACCACGTGAATGGCTATCGGGACAAAACCCTTTGGCCATCCATCGTCAGCTGGGTAATCTATATTGGGCCTAGCCTCGCCGTCGTTCGGACCGTACATACCAAGAATATTGGCCATAGCCGAAATTATCGTTCGATTTCTGTCGGTTGAGCGAACGTAGATCTGCGAAAAAAAGGCATCAGCACACATAGAAGTAGAGCCGTGGGCCTACGCACTGGGTCTGGTTCAGGAGTAATAAACTTCAATAGTGCAAATAACCATAAATCGTTCGCCCGTACCCACATCGATTCTTGTTACTAAAAAATCCGAATCCCAGCCTCATCGAGGGACAGGCACTCCTTGAAGCAACCGTCTCTGCAGGACCCATACCTTCGATACTAATGCGCTAGCTCTAATCAAGAACACGAGAAGTGTCACTGAACAAAAAACTCATCTTGAACTGATAGAAAAGCCACGGAAGAGACTTTGAACGCTTCGGTCCTGCCCGTAATTCGTACGCCACTGCTTATTATAAAGATCGCGCGTGTAAACTGTCCCGCGTTTTAAGATTAATGCTGCCTCTTTTTGATTCGGTTTTACTTGCCACCCTTCAGATTATCGTATTTCTCTGTTTGTATTGGTGAATATGCGATTGCTGCTGCATTTCTTGCTGGCATGAGCCAGCATCCGGTTCGGACAGCCGTCCAAACCGCCCCTTCCTTCATTTCAAGGGAAAACAGGTGGATTGTGATTTGAGGGCTTCATTGGCGGTTTTCTTTATTCTTTTTTTCGAATCGTAGTCAACTCGGCATCCACAATTCCGTCATAGACCGTTTTTACCGAGTTCAGTTTGGAATTCGATCTGGAATCGTTGTTTTGTTGACAGAACCCCTAGCTAGGCTAAGGCTTTTTTCTTCCCAGGCATGGGAACAAAAACACTACGGCCACTTTTTATGCTCCCTTACTTTTCTGCAGGCTGTGCCCAGTCAGATAGCGCATTATCTGCAAACAGCCGACGGCAAACGAGACCCAAGATAGTTGGCCAACTGGTCGCCTGCACTAAATTGTGGAGGCATATTTCGGCTGCTCAGGTTTTGACACTTATCAGCAAAATGCAATGGGTCGCTGTCATGCACATGAGCCGATGGAACAACGTATTTCTCGGAGCCTTGCAGTCAACCCAAACTCAGGCGATCTTGCATTCGGTGGGGGAGTGGTCAACAGTCGTCCGGTCGTCGCGCCGCCGCCAGCGGTCCCTTGCGCGGCGTTCCGACGCGGTAATATTCCAATGGGCGAGGATCTGAATTTTACGTTGGAGCAGTGGATTTCTTGTGGTGCACAACGTCAATTCCAACCTACTTGCTCAGGCTTTTGCATAGAAAATTGCGGGAACTAGATTTTTTCGAAGTTTATAATCGCTTTATTGGAAACGTGGAAAGGAATATATCGGATTGGAAAGTCCAAAGGAATAGAAAGCATCCGCGCCTTTGATTTAAAGTCCAAAGGACGGACCTACTTGCCGTCCCTTTAACATTCAACAAATGACGCACAGAAACTCGTCCACTGCAGTTGTGACGTCGCGGCCACGACCAGTAGCGCGGGGATCCGGACGATTCTGTTGACATACACCCTATTTCATGACGTCGCAGGATGAGCTTCTGACCAAAAATTGCTTAAACTGGAACTAGCGAGTACGTCGCTGAGGGTAGTGACGAAAGGAGACAATCGGCAGTGAGCGACGCAAGGCTAAACAGAACGCCCAGGGAATCTGCAAGGGGGAATGGTCCAACCCGCGCGTGCGTACTGCAGTTATCCTAACGAATTGGAATATTTTGTGTTCGAATGGCCAGCCTTAAGTGTCGGTGGGAGGGACGTAACAAACGTACAACTACCGCTACTAATTTTTGTTCAGTCGACGCGAAATGACGTACGAGCACGTCAGTCCGTGCGGCAATGTCGTTCGCCTGCCATAACTCGTGAACAAATGGACCAGGTCATTCGAAATTTATACCACTGGATAGCTCTGCTCACGAAGAATTCAACGGTATAGAGGACTATTGAGTTTCTCTGAATTTTCAGCTTCATTCTCATGAAATTTATCAAATTACCTGAGGCTGACTCATTAGCGGGCGTCGCTCGCTATAATTATAACCAGAGGGGAAAAAGGTATTAATGGTAGTATTTAGCGAGTAATAAAGTTATTATATTACTCCTATGTAAAGTGAAAAGAGACTGTTGTGTTCTTCAGATGGTGCTCGTCATTTTGATACCGAATTCATCCCAGGTGGGATCAGATTTGTTGGACGTCATTTTTGCATGGAAAAGCTCCTTTGAGCCAAAGTATAGTAAAAACTGGTAGGATCTGAGCCTTGTCACTTGATGTTCCTTTTCTACAGAGCTCACCCCATTACGAAAAGTTTTTGAAGTTCCTACCTAGCACCGGCTGTCAATTTCGAGGCCTTGAATTAGAGCAAAATTTAAATTCAGAGGAACTCAATAGTCCTCTGAACCGTTGGATTCTTCGTAAGCAGAGCTATCCAGTGGTATAACTTTTGAATGACCTAATCCATTTGTTCACGAGTTATGGCGAGGCGACGGTTGCGACGGTCTGACTGCGTCGCATTTCGTCGATTGAGAAAAATTAGTAGCAGGTTTGTATCTTGCGACAGGACGAATGGAGACGTTTGCTGGCGCCCGCCTCGAGCGAAATCGCACGATCAACCGGAACGACAGGTAGTGGATACAGGTTGATTTGTAATCTTGACTGAGGGCAGGGTTTGTTGTTGTTTATTGTTCGAAACGTTGCATAAGGCAAACGTAAGATACAAATACAATCACAGAACAACCTTCAATACAATAAAAGTAACTAGTCATATCTCAACAATTTTTTCCTAGAAAACCGCTTGAAAAGCAGGAAGGTGGGAGAAGTAATTTCAATAGTGGTTTTAAGAGAAATAAATTCAGATCCAGCTCGACATGTGAAGCTATAGAGCTTCACATTTGACTTGGGAGTTGTATATGAGATTTTCTCTGGCCCTCCTCTTGACTCTTTGAATTCATTATGTAATAGATTTAGACGCATCTATTCTCTAGCTAGTCCTGTTAAAATTTCAAAGACATATTGACATCAAAACACTTTCTTCGCGAACATAAGGTGTGTAGCTTATATTCTTCATTTCTACAAGGCGAATAAGGTAATCTGGAGTATTTACAGTCCCCAGATCTGATGAATCTTTTATTTTATGAATATTATGTGAATAAGTGTCGACCAACTCTTTGATGATAGGTGGGGCTCAGAAACTTCATCTTGTCAACGTATGTTTCTCGAATGAACTTTCCAAATCTCATATGTTGCATCATTCCGATCTGGAAAAGTTTCAAATGCATATTTGCAATTACGTTCAGAAAGACGCGTGAATCTTTCCGAACACCTTCCAAAAAAACCGGAATTTAGACATGTGCTGCTAGTTGCAAGACATCCTTACAGCGGTAAACTACGAGGGCAGCGCAGAACTTCATAAGTTATGGCAAATCGTCTCGGCCCATTGAATCTCTTTTCTCGCTGAGGATCAGCTCAATTTTAAAGATAGGGACTTGATTAACGCGAGCTTCAAATGCCTCTTAGCTACTCTCTGTGCCCGCGTTCATGCCGATAGCCGCCCACAGGGGTCTTGAAATCTTGAACTCTAGGCCGTTTTGGCCGCTAACAGGTGTTTTTTTTACTCACTAACTGATCATAATGACCCTTTATTGCTGGATTGCCAAATTTGCGAGGGATCTTTTTTAAGCTTTAATTTGGACAACTTTTCCAAGCAAGAACGCAGCCCAAGAATCTAGGAGGCGCTTTATATTCACTGTCACGATTCGTCGCGCTTTGTTGACACCGGCGGACGGATTCGAGGGTTGCGACGGTAAAGATTTGCCAGAGCTGTTTTGAAATGGGGAATTCAAGCATTTTTGGACCCTGCATTGATCACAGATCTCAGACCCTTGAGGTATGTTTGTAATCCAGTGATCTTTTGTTCAAAAGTGGATGCCTTACAGGTGAAAGTTGTCCAAAACCTCCTCCACCGAATGTCCAGTCGTGCTCCTGGATTGGATCGTTCGGAAACGTTTTCGTAGGCCCTCGATCTCCATGACGCCATATCTGAAACAGTGTTTGTTTATTTTACTTGTCTATTTAGATGTTTATTATTTATTAATGAGCTCATGCAGTGCCCCATTGGACCATGTTGGCTGCACGCGAAATACTCAGTCTCAAAAAAGGAAAAAAAAAACCAGCGAAAATGCTAAGATAAACCTGCCGTTAAACCCACGAACCGTGAAGTTGTAGGTCACTTTTGAAAGCTAAAGTCACAGCAAAAGCAAACTCCCCGAATGCACTCTCTCGATGACTGTTCATTGATCGCCATTTCCCAAAGCTGGGCCCAAATGTCTTGTCTTCGATTGTTAGGGGTTTTCTTTTTTGATGTAGAAAGCTAATAAAGTTGAGTATAAGAACGTAATCTATGCTGAGCCTTGTATGTCTAGATGAATATCGAACTTCACGAAGTACGATAGCGAGCTTTGGCAGCTAGTTGGCAGTAAGAATTCTTTTTTGTAACTCTCGCAACGCAAGTTATGTTGGGTGGATCTGTCGGCACATACACATGAACTGGCTCTCGGAAGGCAACGCCTACATTTGTGAGACAGGACATGAGAGGCTTTTTATGTTGAGAAATTTGCCGATGTGTTTTTATTGCCTCACTGGTTGTTTCGTTGCGTGGTTGAATAAGTGTCACAAAGGGTAATAACTATACCTTCATCTTGTGATCAGAGGATTGCCAGAAAGTGTCACTCGCAAATATGGACGCCCGGATTTTTCGATCAGAGAGGTGTCTATTCCTTTCGGCCAAATCTCTTATTCTTCGCACCCTAATGTAGTTAGAAAGATCCTATAATATACCTATCCTCCTATCCACCTGGTGAATGGCAGTCCCTTCTAGTATCAGAAAGAGAGGTCTCCAAACTCAGAAGCCGCGACACTGTCACGGCTCAAAAGCGAGCGGCAAAGGCACTAAGTCTTTGCCTGTACGCTGCTGGCACTACCACTGTACCAATCATGGCGTTTGCGCTCTCTGCGTACGACGTGCTCTTTCGCGTTTTCCCTCTTCTCGAAGCGTCTCGTCTCTCCGCCATATCTTACGAGGGAAATTTTATGTTTTCTACAGAGCAGTTTACTTTTTCTGCCCACTGACGTTCCCTTCACCCTTCTTCTGATTCGCGAACAAAATAACACATAAATTTGATCCCGGCCCGTGCCTTTGAAAAAATTAAATTTTGAAGGCAGCTTTTCATCTGCAACAACTCACCACCTGTACCAGGAGCAGCTCCAGATCTCCATCTGTTACAGCTGGTACCATAGCACATAGATCAAAGAGTACGAAAAAAACTAACGACTTCATTATGTACATTTGTGTGGCGCTTTTGTTCTGAAAGAAATGCACATTTTCAGCTTCTCCAGAGTAAAACAGAACTGAGCAAAGATACGTGTGTAATTTAGTCACGACGCGACGACGCACTTAAGTGTCGCGTGCGGCAAAATTACCCTGCATATAGTTCAAGGCGTTCGTTCTGCCTTAGAAAATTGGTGACACAGATACAGCGAAAAAGTGCTTGTCCATATGCGCAGGAAGATGAGAGGTTAAACCGCTTGAATCGATAATCGATCAAAGCGACGTGTCGCAAAACTGCGCGTCGTCGCGCCGTGACCTGTTGATGCTCATTGACAGGTAGCTACTGTGCAACCGTTCGGCTTGAAGGATACAGGAATAAGAAAGACCCTTATTCGGAAAGGATGCAATTAATGTTCTCCAACGGAGGAACCTAAAGGCATTTGCGCTGAACTTTAAATGTTTTATTTACAAAATACAAATATTCTTGTTTACAGACAGCGTTTATAGTCACGAAACATACGAAATACGGAAGAATATCGTCTGGATTGCTGCCAGTTTCACCACATGAAATAAATAGGTTGAATTATGGCACAGTTTAACACATTCTCGATGTTCCTATGCCTCATATTTACCTTTGGCGAGGCAAACTGCGTGCAGAAAAAAACAAATGCGTGCAGTTTGATTTCCATGCTGTCCTATATGTGACACACGTGGCCAACAGGAATGAAGTGCTGCACATGGTGTTCGTCCGCGCTAAACACTGAGATAACAACCTAAAGGCTTGGTGTCACAGTCCAGGTGAGCCACACGTGTCAACGAAGGCCACCACGACCCCCGCCCACTGTCGACGAATCGTCGATACCGTCGCACTTTGTCGCAGGCACCTCATTACATTTCAAAAAAGCTTTTACGTGTGACAAGTTACAGTGCGATACGTAGCCAGTTTTTGTGCTTCACCTCGTGTGATAATCGCTTTATCTCGGGTCCCTTTAACACCTTTGTTTCTGTTGAACGTTCGATGATGCATTGTTTGGTGCTTGGGATAAGAGGTGGGACGTTTTATGAGTACATACACACGTTCTTGTTTTTGTCTCGAGTTTAGATAATGCTGGTGCTAAAATTTGCGTGGCTAGTTGAGGGAGGGAGGGGGGGGGTCCTTGGTATTACTGATTTGCACGGGGAGAGTTCTGTATTGACCGGATTCAGGCTCATTGCGTCAATACGAAGGTACCGCGTTTTCTCGTTGTTCTTTCTGTGGGTCCGGAAGGCCGAGGTCAGACTTTGCGAATCTCGCGGTCCGCTAGCGTTCACAGGGTCGGCGTGCGCGGCAGTGAATCACCTATTGGTGGTTACGCAAACGAGACGCGAAATCGCGGCGATTCGCAAAGTACTGCTATCGGCAGCCTTTTGGGGTGTCCCCCAAGAGGCCCATCGCGCGGCGAAGGAAGAGACGCAGATGCGGCAAAGGACGAGTCGCAGCGCGTGCTGTGCGATATGAGACGTAGTATGGTACACTCTATTAACCTGACGCCTAACCGCTACAGTATGCGCTGCGACTCGTCCTTTGCCGCGTCTGCGTCTCTTCCTTCGCCGCGCGATGGGCCTTTTGGGGGACACTCCACTATTTTATTTGCTTATGCTTGCTTCCCCTTCCATTGTGCACAGAGAGCAAATACCGCTGTGTACTTGAATTTGATTTGATGGCACGTACGAAACGGGAGCTGAATTTTTTCTCCGTTCCTACTCCATTCAGTATAAATTTCAGTATGCTTGCCCCTGCTAGTTTACCTTTTTTTGCTATTCTTATAATAAGTTTGAATTCTAGAAAGTACCGCCAACCACCAGGCACTCAATGTTCCTACGCAGTATGCACCTTTGGTATTCTGATGTTCACGCGATTGCGGAAAAAAATCCATCGTGAGATAAAAAGTATAGCATCGAGGGGCTAAAGGCACGGAGTCCGATAAGCATAACATATGTTGTTTAAATTTTTTTTTTAACTTAGGGTAGACTAAGCATGCAGATGATCGACGTTGTTCGATCCTAATTTGGATTCGGATGTGCTTAAAATTTTAGGAGTTTAAGGAAGTTGTTGCGGAATACTTATGCTGTCTGCGCCTCTACTTGGTTTACGTGCTCATTGCGTACGCAAGCCCGCCCCCTTGGCGTTTCTGCTGGGGCCGTACGCTGATTGTTGGGGAGGGATGGGGTCCCAACGGTCGACGGACTTCTTCAACTCGGTCGGTGCGATAGGAGAGTACATGACGCAGTGGGTGCAGCTGGTCCAGCAGCTCCGCCAAGGGCTGGTTTCCTTACCCCGAAACTAAGCCTTGGAGAGAGGATGGACCTGCGCTCTTTCGCAGTCCGTCCTCTCTTTAGGCTTAGTCCTGAGGTAAGCATCAAATTGAGGCGGTTTTAAGGACCGAGTTGAAGTAGTCCGTCGACCGTCGGGACCCCATCCCCTCCCCAACATTCAGCATACGGCCCCAGCAGAAACGCCAAAAGGGCTGTTTGCTTACTTCTTCTGTTGCGTGCTCTCCTTCCCAAGTATCTCCGCCATGACGGTCGGACCTCACCAAAAGTAGCCAACTTCGATGAGGTATCTTTATGGCTGCTATTGCTCTAAAATAATCTATTTTTCCAGGTATCTCTTAGGAAGCTTGAGTGTGTAAAGGGCTCATCGTTCTCGTGCTATACTGTATGGCAAAGCTCTTTTGTAAGTCTTTGTTTTATTGAAATCGAACTATTATTCCATCATCAGTTTCGTAATATAATCGCACCCGGGTATCAACGCCCATCGGGCTGGTGTTCGCTGGCGAGGTCGTTACTTGCGGATTGGCGTAACTTGCAGTCGATGGAAATCAGAAGGGTCGAAGGTCGAACTTATGGGAGCTGGGGGCGCAGTTGCGGGCGATAGGGGTTGTTTTCAAAGGGTGCTCAGTCGTCGCTTCCAGCACAAACTTCAGAATATAAGCATGAGACGAGCAAAATGCACGGTCGTTGACCCATTCCTTCCCACACTCGACGCATTTAGGAGGCAAGGAATGGGAGGTTGTGCGGAGGCTGCCCTCGGAATTCAGAAGGGTGCAATCCGGAGGAAGATGGTGGTCGCAGGTGATGGTGGAGTGGCAATCGTGGCGTTACCCCCTGACGGGTGGGGATGGTAAGGGAGTCGAAAAAATTTATTCCGAAACACTCAGGTAACCCTGACTGAACGATCGTGTATCACAAAAGCCTCTCCGGCACAGGATGGTCTTATTTGACTTTCAGGTCTGTGCTGACGATATAATACCTATATGCGACCTACTCATCGGTTTATGAAATGTACTTTGGTGCGATCTAATAAGTGTGGCTCCATGAAATCGTACCGTAAACAATGAGTTAATCTAAGCCCTCTTCAATTCAGGAAAAAATTAGGAGCAGTTGAGCGCTCTCGTGATGATTGTCTCGTGTCACCGGAAAAATTATAATGAAAATCGCGTGCCGGTAAGTACCAGATGACTCAAGCCAGACGGTTTTTTTGACTTTTACGTATGCTAATCCGATAGCGAGGACAAACTGTCCTTGAAGAGTGCAGGTGAGTGATAGACTCGGCTCGAGAGTGCGTAGCAAGTGAGATAAGCATGCTGTTTCAATGTGAACAGACGTGAGGCCGATGTCAGACTTTGGTGCGAAGTCGCGCGATTCGCTAGCGGTCGCGGCTCGCAGTTGCGGTACCAGCCGATTGAAGTGGCGGCTATTATCTTGATTTACGTTCGATATTTACTATCGAGTTGTTTCCCTGAGACGTAATGAGGGATAGGAGGTCTCCGGCCTTTAGCTTAACTTTTTCAAGAAAAAAGCTTTTCTCGGCGTGTCCCAATCGATTTTCCTTTTCATTTGGGTCCAACATTCATGTTGGCCCACTTTCATTCTTTATGCTTCTCTAGCGCAACAAGCTACCCTGTCAATGAAATTAGGTTTTAGAGCTACAGGTAGTACCCTTTACGAAAAACTTCATTCAGTAGAGTCCGCTAGGTAAGGAACTGTCAATGACGGTATTGATAAGGCTATTGTGAGCGGCTCGTCCAACAATGAAATACTTTCTCACAAAGTTATGAGATGTTATGAGGTTTCCCCTTTTAATCGGCAGTAAATGGATACGGCTCAACGAGTGCAGAAGTTGCGCCGTTAAAGGAATCTTCCACGGAAAAAGCTCCGCCCTCATTACCACAGAAAACGATACCTTAAAGGAATCTTCCACGGAAAGAGTGATCATTTTGTCTTGTGTGTAGGATTAGTATTATCGAAACTAACGCTTATGTTCCGTTCTTTTTGCTATGCTCATGAGGCTAGGGGCCTAAGGGGTATCGTTTTTCTGTGGTAATGGAGGCGGAGCTTTTTCCGCGGAAGATTCCTTTAAGGTGATAGAGTAGATGTTTCCAATTCTGCTGACAGAACGTTCTATTGCTCGATAGAAGCGGCATCCTCTGTGTGAGAGCGAGTTTTGAAAACGTCATTGATCGACTGCATTGATTGCAATACCCGTTGTTGGATCGTTTTAAAGAAAACGCACCACTATAGGTTCAGAATGTCAAATGTGCAGAATCAGGTTGCGAACGAGGGCGGAATGATACCTAAAATAAGTCAACGCCTATTGGTCGACTCTCGGAAAGATTATGTGTTACAATGAGGAAATGCGATCAAAATGGTCCGATGTGAAGGAGACGCCAATGGTAATGGTATCATAAGTGGATTGAGTTGTTCTCACAATTGGGGCTATAACGTTACCACTTACAAACAGCGGAGCGTTCTTTCGTACGCTTTTAGCCAGATCAGGAATCAGTGCAGACGTCAATCAGGTCGCACGGCCGGCCTGAGGTATATGCACGCAGCAAATGCAGCAAGGGCCAAACTGCAGTTTGCAGGAATGACGCCGGAGTCTGGATTCTGTCGGCACATTTTTCTCCTTTATTTAGTGGTTCATT